GGCCCAGCTGCCGGTGGAGGTCCCGGTCCTGGAAGAGGGGACCGGGGCCGCTGGTGTGGGGGGCGGGGGAGGGGTGTCGACTTCTCAATCAGCTGCGGAGCCCGCAGTGAGTGTGTCACTGGGACCCCAGAGGAGGCGGAGATGAGGACCTGGTGGGATCGGATGATTCCAGAATAAACCGTGGCTGTGTCACACGTTGCGTTCAGCCTCATCTGGACGGACGTGGGGTTTTGTGTGTATCCAGCCGCTTGTCGCACATCCTTTGCACCAGGACACATGCCTTGGGGACGTGCCCACCGTGGTCTCTGGGCCGTGACATGGCCATTGTGGGGGGGGGAGGGCGACGCCCGGCTGGGGTTTCCCTCACTCCAGGTGCTCACAGAGCTCCTCTCTGATCACTCAGAGCGGCAGCAGGCAGCCCCGGGCAGGTGCCATGGGAGAGAGCATCGCCCTGCTGTGCCAAGGGTGCAAGTCTGATGTCCGGTCAGGCACATGCATGAAACAACCAATGAATGTATAATAAGAGTAACAACAAATCAGTGTTTCTCTCTACAAAAGCAATCAATACATTAAAAAAAGGAAAAGAAAAGAAAAAGAAAGGCAAACTCGTGAAAACCTCAATATAAGGGATTTTAAAATATGTTGTGTACCTTTCTGATTATGAAAGTAATACAGGGTATTGATTTTTAAAATTAAGTGCAGAAAAGAATGAGAAGGCCCGGCTGGTGTGGCTCAGTGGTTGAGCGTCGACCTATGAACCAGGAGGTCACCGTTTGATTCCCGGTCAGGGCACAGGCCCTGGTTTCGGGCTCCATCCCCAGTGGGGGGTGTGCAGGAGGCAGCTGATCCATGATTCTCTCTCATTACTGATGTGTCTATCTCCCTTCCTCTCTGAAATCAATAAAAATGCATTAAAAAAAAAGAATGAGAGGAACATGTCACGCCCATTGCCCCTCGGAGACCTAACACTTCTGGTAGATAGCTGTCTCTCTCCCTGTGCTTATAGTCCTAAATCCGCTTCGGAAGGAGCGGAGGGAGGAGCGCAGGGAGAGAATTACCTAACGGTCCCGGGGTGCCGGGATGGCGGTGGCGGCATCGCCAGGTGTGCACACCGGAGGCTGAGAGCAGGCGACATTGAATGGCCGCTGCAAGGTTTGGGCTCATCCCCAAAGGAGGGCCACACCCAGACCAGCGTGAAGGGCCTAAGGAAGGGCCACTCTGCTCAGGGAGGGGCGGGGCTGAGAGGTCGGAGGTCAGGGACTTGGTCTCGGTGAGAGGTTCTGAGGCCGGGACGAGGGTCAAGGTCAGGGGTCAGGAGGTGTTGAGGGGGCAGTTTGGGGAGAGGGTGGCTGGCTCCCTGTCTGAGAGGGACTTGGACTCCGGGTCCAGAGGAGGAGGAGGAGGAGGATGCTGTCTCGCGTGGCCCTGTCCAGGGCGGGTGCTCATGGGGGTCCCAGGGAGACCTTTCTGCCCCCATCCACATGGTCAGGCCTCCCTTTCTCTCTCAAGCCTCCAGGTCTGTTGCTTTTTTTTTTTAGATCCTCACTCGAGTATATATTTCCATTGATTTTTAGAGAGAGTGGGAGGGAGAGGGAGAGACAGAGAAACATTGATGTGAGAGAGACACATGGATTGGTTGCCTCATGAGCCCTGACCAGAGCCCGGGGATACTTGCAACCAGTGGTTCTCAACCTTAGCTGCACATTAGAATCACCTGGGAATCTTTTTAAAATCCTGATTTCTGAGGCCCAGAAATCAAGAACCACTGCTTGCAACCAAGGCACGTGCCCTTGACCGGAATTGATCCCGGGACCCTTCAGCCCGCAGGCCGACGCTCTGTCCACTGAGCCACACCAGCCAGGGCATGAAATCAATAAAAATATATTAAAAAAAACACAACACAAGCAAATACCTTACAAAAGGCAAACAACAACAAAACACCCCAAAATCCTCCTCCAAAGGCTCCCCCGCCCCCAGCTCTGTTCTTGTTGCTAAAGGTGGTGACGAATCTGTCCCTTCTCCCAGAGAGCGTCAAGGACGTCCTCGGAAGGAAGGTCAGGATCGGCCTCAAGAAGAAGGTCAAGTTGGAAGTGAAAGGGGACAAGGTTGAAAACAAGGTGCTGGTAAGTGCTGGCCGTCCTTCGGGAAAGCCTTTGGCAGCGGAAGCGAGTACCTGCCCCCCCTCCCCCTGGCCGCCTCGTTGCCCCCTCCCGACCGCCTCGTTGCCATGCAGCCCCGGTCCTGTTTCATGTTTGGCTCACAAGTTCCCAGGACTGGGCTGGCCTAGATTCCCTGGAGTGTTTGTGCGCGGAAAGTTCAAGTGGAAGGATTCCAGGCGGTGGAGTTCTCACAGCCGTGCCTCTTGGTGGAGTTTGAGCGTCGCTGTGTTTAGGCCCCTGAGCCTGCTCTCCTGTTCGTCAGCGTTTGATGTTCGGTGGGCCTTACGGGTCATCGCTGTGGTGGCTGATGTGTGGTCTGATTGGTGAGGATGTAGGGAGATGTTTCAACAAAAAAAAATGGCCTCGGGTCGGCTTCGTGATTGAATGAACTTTTCTCAAAGGCTGTGCCCGCGTCGTCTCATGGGCGAGGAGTGAGAACGTGGAGAAGTTGGTCCTTTGCGGTTGTTTTCTGGTGTCCTGGCGGGAGGGGCTGCTGGAGGCGGCGTCTGGGGGCTGAGATGGACCTTGGGGTTCTGTGCACGTTGCTGGGGGCTGAGGGGTGGGACTCGCTGGGCACAGCTGGTCGGGCAGCTGTCCGAGCGCAGTGGCCCCTCGGAGCGGGGAGGAGCGTTCGCTGGTACCTCAGTGGCTGAGATGGGGGTGCACCCAGATCGCAGCTGCCGCGAACGCCCTGCGTGTGTGGTTGGTGGGAGAATGTTCTGTTATCTTGTCGGGAATTCCCACTCACCTGGGGGAGCAGCGAGGTTGAGCCCCGAGAGCTCTCTTCAGCCCCCGCCTTTCCAGCCGGTTTTTGCCAACACTGTTGTGTCTGCTTCTCCATGTCATTGAAAAAGGATACGTGTATTTTTGTTGATTTTAGGGAGGAAGGGAGAGGGAGAGAGAGAGAGAAACATCCCCGGGCATGTGCCCTGACTGGGAATCAAACCGTGACCTCCTGGCTCATAGGTGGGCGCTCAACCACTGAGCCACCGGCCGGGCTGGTAGCATCGGTCCTGAGGGTCTTTAAGGGACCCTCTGCCTTCCCTGTGGACGCAGGGGCTTCTCTGATGGATGAGCTCCCTCGGGGCTCTGGGCTCTGGGCTCCGGGCAGAGGAACTGAAGTGGGAAAACCTGAGTGACTGTTGGAACACAGTGGGTTCGCGTGGACCACATGGCTAAGGCCACCCCAGCAGAAATGAGCCGTTATTCTGTTCTATTCGACTTTAATAAAAAGTTAAAGTTTCCTTAAAGCGTGTTTATTATTTCTGTCTTGATTTTGAGAGAGAGAGGCAGGGAGAGAGAGAAACCTCGATTTGTGGTTCCACTTATTGATGCTCTCGTTGGTTCCTTCTTGGATGTGCCTGACGGGGATCAAACCCACCACCGTGGGGTCTCGGCCGATGCTCCAGCCGCGGAGCTCGGCCAGGGCCTCCGGGAGTGTGTTTTACTTCATGCTGTCCAACCTCAGGGCTGTGGGACTTCGGGAGGGCTGTGCAGAAAGAGGAAATTGTGTTGCCGCCGTTTTTTGTTTGACCTGTTTGAGGTCGATCCTCATACAGCTTCCCGGTCAGCATTTCTCACGACTGTCTGACGGGGTAGGTGCTGCTACTCTGAGTGGACGCTGCTCACGGCCCGAAGAATAAACCCAAGTCCCGAGTGCAATTTACAAAGTTAAACTTTCAAAGACAAATGTAGATGGCCACTGCTCTAGCCGGCGTGGCTCAGCGGATAGAGCGTCGGCCTGCGGACTGAAGGGTCCCGGGTTTGATTCTGGTCAAGGGCACAGGCCCGGGTTGTGGGCTTGATCCCCAGTGTAGGGTGTGCAGGAGGCAGCCGATCCATGATTCTCTCTCATCATTGATGTTTCTCTCTCTCCCTCTCCTTTCCTCTCTGAAATCAATAAAGATATATTAAAAAAAAAATTTAAATGGTCACTGTAGTGAAGTTAGCACCATTTAAAGTAGTTATGATTAGTACTCCATGTCAAGCTTTTGCCGGGGT